AAACTTTGATGCTTTACTTAAAGACTTGATAACTGCGTGTTCTAAGTGCAGTGGAGGGATGAAAATTCAGCCTATAAAACTCCAAGTACAGGGTGATCTAGCCTCTCTTAAAAGACGAATAATTCTTTATGGTCTTCGAGAAACAGTAAATAAAACATTGAACGATTTGTGTGCGAAAGGTATAATTAAACCGATTTAGTCCTCAGCAGTGGGCACTTCTATTGTTAAGCCATTGAAGTCGGGTGGCAAGACCTGTAGAATATGTGATGTTTGATGAAGCAAACATGCTTGACGGCAGAGGCTGAAGATATTCAAAGTCAACTTCATGGTTCTAAAGTGTTCTCGAAAGTTGACTTAAAAGATACTTATCTTCAAATCCCTTGAGATCAACCTCCATCTATTTTGACAGCAATTAACACTCCTTTCAGTCTAATCAAATACAACTTCCTTCTATTTGGTCTAGCTTCTTTCCAAGCCATATTTCAGGATATGATGTGTAATGTAATTAGTGATCTAAAACGTGTTGAAGTTTATCAGGATGATCTTATCATCCATGTTGTTGATAAAGTAGTTCATAACCGGAGACTTATTGATTTATCGTGTCATCTAATTAAGAAGAATATTACAGTGAATCCAAATAAGTGTTCATTTTGTGCGTCAAGTTTGGAACGTCTTGAATTTCCAATTGGTGGTAACGGTTTCAAACCAGACATGAAACGACTAGCTCCACTTACAAACGTATCATATCCGAAAGCCGTTACAGAACTACGTTCACTAGTGAGCGCTCTTCAACACTATTCCCGTTTTGTTCCATATTTTTTCGTGTCGTGCCTATTACTAATTTAGTATTTTGATATCCAATTCATTTAAATGGAGTGAGGAACAAGAGTCATGCCTACAAAGTCCACTAAAGCTTCTTCAAAGTGATGCTGTTCTTCGAACTTACTCACCTAGTGTACATTCTATGCATCACCTGCGGATATTGGTGCAGTTTTGGAGCGGGAAGGTAGGCCAGTTAAGTGAGTGGGTGCTCTCTGTGATACATTTCAACACTTGTTCCTCCTCTCAAAACTTTCTGAACAGAGCGTGCTTGCAGTTACTTTTATGTCTAACTTCAGCGCTTAATCTGGTATACCATCAGGTTCTGCAACTTTCCCACTTTCCTCGGTCATTGGTGGAATGACAGTCATGGGAAGGTCTGTGTGTGCTGCCTTCCTCACGTCGAGTTTTTTCACAGGCCAAAGACATTTAATACTTGAATGATCATAGTATCCAGAGTATGAAAGAAGAGATTATTTTAGATAGATAGAAAGGTATCTCTACTATTTATATACTGCCAGAGTAGCAAAAATATTTTTGGCTTACCGATATTAAAACTTTATCTCAGTAGCGCACAACAACATCTAGCTGGTGTATCGTTTTTAACGATACTGAGATCCCAAACTTGAACCTTAGGGTTAATTTTACCTAGGGGTGGCATGAAACCGAGGATCTCTTAAGCTTCGTTCTCATCGTGGGTAAATGTGACGTCTAATACTGATGACTTGGAGTCCAGGTAATATCACGTTGCCTTTTGCTGCTATTTTACGATAGCAGATGCAATAATAGTATCGATTAGATTGTAATTAGATGTTTCCCATAGCCCTAACCTTAGATTTTTATGGTCTACTATAGAAACGTTACGTCTCCACAAAACTTCACACCAATAGCTAGAAAACCAGCAGTTGAATTTGTTCAACAAGACATCATTTACTTTTCAGTTTAGATTAGGGTAAACTTGATGAACCAGCGGCTCTTGTCCCCTGCACTTTTAGCTCGTTTTCATGTAATATATTGACGATAACAGTAAAGGATGTAATTTTTTATAAATAAATCCACTCCTCCCTGTTTACGCTTCTGGATTATGTTAGGGCTTACCAATTTACAGTTATGAAGATGTTCTCTATCGTCTTCTGACGGGATCAACCACATTTTTGTGATGGAGGTTGCATTAAGCACGGTTGGATCAGTCTGTACATCGAGCTCCAACCTCTTCTTAAGCATGCGTTTGTATGACGGATACAAAGATCATTGAGATAGTTTGTGCCGCAATATAAACCGCTCAGAGATTATTCACACACGAAACTTGCAGCCGTGAAGAGTCTCACCATTCGATTGCTAAGATGCAAAAGGCATTGTAGGGTACAATTGGAACAGACTAGTGACATTAGCACATATAGGTAGTCCAAACAAAAAAGAAACCAGTGCACAAAGACGATAAGGGAAGACAAGCTTTGGTATCAGATAACGCGAATCAATAGATTTATCTCCATTCTGAAAAGCTCATTCCGTCATACAACCTCTCTTCAACAAACCAAAACCGGGGTTTCCCGATTGCAAGGTTCCGATGGCTCGACCAATAACGATGATGACATCTCTGGCCGTCAGGCAGAACAGTATTTCCAAACATTCTAACCGTCTTGTACTCACCATATCAACGGGAACTTCACTTGCAACCCAATAGAACTCTCATAAGTGGACCAGAATACTGACTTGGTGTATCGAAACCTGCACCACCTAAACAAGGACACTTTTCCTGACCTAGGCATGGCTCATCCTACTATACTATGAGAAGCGTCTTTGATCTCTGCAAAACCGCTTAGTGTGATGTCATATCATGCCGAGACGTGATACCGGAAAAAGTGCAAGATGGCCCAGCTGACACATAGAACCTTCAAGCCAGTGTTTGGTAGAACCGTTGGAACGTATCTAAAGGTGAACCAAGAAATCAGTTCGGACATCAAATTTAAGCTTTATGTAGAGAGTCTCAAGTCATCCACTAGAGTACAGGCGTCTTTGGGGTGACCTGCTAATGTCTTACAGAAGATTGAACGCTTCTAAACATCCCCTTAAATACCTACTTCAGCTCAGGCCCAATGCAAAACTAAGGGGTGACACCTGGTAATCGGAACGGACTGTAAACACATTTTCTATTCCTCAAGAGTAGTGGAATGGATGAATTCGCTGCCAGTTGAGACAGCCCAAATGACTTCGGAGGAGTCTTGCAGGAGAAAACCTAACATATTCTTAAGGACTAAGGACAATATCTCATTATAATCTACCAATATTCTTCCCCTTTTATCAATAAATATACCTAGGTTCTTACCTGATAGCATCGGTAATTCACTGTCACCAGATATAGAAGTCCATTAGGTGAGAGCTTCTTCTATTCCATTCAAAGTCAGTTGAACTATCTTGAACGTGGTCGGTGGTTATTTTGCCATATCTTGAGGCATCAGCTTGTCGGGTACCGATTTACTGAAAAAAACCTTGATTCTCTTCCGTTTCGATAAGGCCAGGTTTATAGTCTGATAATTTAAGCTGAAAGTTAGTAAACCAAGATTTTGAATGCTTACATTGTGCTGTTGGATATACGCGCTTCTTACAAAGTTTACATTGTCAAGGTCATCCCTCAGCTGGTACATCTTACAAGCGGGGGTTTTAGTATTCACTTTTCAGGGCGATTGATCCTGATTTTCACTGAAACGTCTGTTTGAATAAAATGATCTAGAAATTAACGTTTCAACAATATTTAAGGGTCCAGAGTTTTAGTGTAGTTTCGCCACAGGACTGAGCTGTGCTGATAGGGTTGCGGTGTTGAAACCTGTGTAGTTTCTGGCTCTTCTGAAAACCAATTTAAAACTACCCTGGCCTAAAAGAATATATTTATATCACTGTGAATTTCTGAGGCCGCATTTGGAATATGTTCACATTGAATCGCGAGGTTCAATCTGCTAGTCCTTGTTTCAAGCATGCATGTTTCATGAAGCAGGTACACTAGGATGATTTCAGTGGCGAGTGGCCAAAACGGCAAAAGGACTTACTGGCTTGTTATACTAAGATAAACCGAAACGCCCCAACCTATTTACATTGTCTTACCCCAGGTTACGGGTGATCCTAATCACCCTGTATTAATTAAGACTGGCTAACCGTTTACTGGACGTTTATCTTGCAATTAATGTGTCTTGTCTTTTCCTTTCATTTAGGAATGATCATATGAGAGGGGATTCCAGGAAATTCTAAACAATCTACGCCTGGAGTTCCGTTTCTCGCGTCGAGCAGTGAGTTACTACAATCTTCTCATAGGACACGTAATATCAACACCTTTTGATACATTCAAAGCACTGTTGGATCTCCACAATACTACAAGTTACAAGAATTAATATAGGTTGACTGACCTATCCTTACTACTGAGGACTGTAGGAATATAATTAAGTTATCACGTAGACCGATTCTACAAAACTCAGACTGCTAGTCCTTGGTAAGGCCTGTTCATCGGTAAAACGTCTGCTTGTTTCAAATTCGGTATTCCGAAATTTCTTACGTGTATACACACATTACTAACACGCAATTTAGTCGTAATATCTACCTTTTTAGCCTGAAAGTTGTTATTTAAGCTATCGAAAGCGAAGTTACTACACTGCGTAAATTAATATATTGATAGGCAGTGGTAATACATCTAACTTTGGAGGGATTATTCCAGTCATCCACAACAAGATACCAGGAACAGACTTTCAAAAGCAAACAATCAAATATTGGTTTCCGAAACTTCGTAAGATTGTCCTCCCAGGAATTTAAATGTTAAGAGAACTTCCCTTAAAACACATCTTCCGAAATTCCTTCCTTGGTTTGCTCAGCTCCAGCTGTAAAGCTCGAAACATTTCCCCTCATTTAGGAAATTTCGGGAAAAGTTCACACTATTCAGGGATACGTAAAAAGGAGGCAATTAGATGCATTGTCACCTATATTCACACTAACTTTCTTTAAGAATTCCCTCCAGGATTTCCTCAAAGTTCGCCTTTGTTTTCCCTTTTTGTTTTCATAAGATGTTTAAAATTTCGGTCTTTATGATTTAAGACTATAAGACAGTGTGTACATAAGGTTTGTTACTCTAGGTGGGGTTATTTATAATCGATGACCACTATATCTCATTTGAATCTATATATATATATATATATATATATATATATATATATATATATATTCTCTATGTTCATATTATCAAATAAAATTATCTCAAGATACCAAATAGAGTTGATGTATTTGTACCAAAACACATAATTACTTTCATTAGTCACAACAATCTTAGGCAAGCCTGTTGCTTACCATCTAAAAGCTTGTAGGTTTCTTGGTTTGAGCACACTGCATTGGGGATGTTTGGATAATTTTATCATGTAAATTTACAAACTATAGTTTTTACGCCATCCTCTCCAGTTTTGTCTCATGTGACCTAGTATAGCGCCGTTGACGTACAATTTTAAATACCTGTTTCATGAATTCGTGCATCATAGTTAGAAATTAGTAACTATCACGTTTGTTTAGTACGTTTTTGATCGCAGTTGCTTTCAACAATGCTACTAGTACGTATTCCCGTGTACTAATATCCCAAAAATGATTTTGCATGAGAGATTACTGTCTATGAGAGATCATCTTATTTAAGTGAAAATCCTGGGCGATATTGTGATTTCAAGAGATCATAGATATTCTGCCCAAGCATTTAGCACCCGATTTCATTACGTGTCGCTTTTTCGGGTTACTTCATATTTATAGTCAACTGAAGAAATAATACTTGAAACGTTTCCCACGAGTAAATTGTCTGCAAAATTATTTATATCAGAGCATATAATTATTATATTCTTCTACCTAGTCTATTGTTCTCACTCATTTAAAGTTATCGTATTGTAATGGAAATGACTGTAACTAATAATTCATTCATGACCAGTAAACACTACTTTTATGATGAAATTCAGGTCGTTATAGCTATAATTTCCCTAAAATAATATTTGCAATTTAACTCCCCGTAATATGTTGTGAATTACAAATGCTATGGTTTGTTTTTATTCATTTTCTATCCGTTCGTTACTTTGTACCTTACATATTAACCTCATGTATGCCTTTACTCATGAGATTCATTTTCTATTTAATAATAGCCAAACATCACCTCAAAATAACTTAATTTAAAGAATGCCAGGCGGTTATATTCCCGGTATTCCACCCGTCTACCCTAATAGCTGGATTTCTTCAGGAATATCTAACATGTCTCGCCTAGAACCTGCTGACTCGAATTGCACTTATGGAATTCACTGGATATGGGTTTCAATGGGACTGTGTGTTATGGATATTCAAGGTGGCATAGCCTTATTTTGTGGAATTCTATGTTTATTTCTTTGGATTGCAGTGGGTATACCTCAAATTGTCGAGAATTTTCGGACAGGAATTGCAGACAAAGCTCTTTCGCCTAGTTTTCTTTGCTTTTGGACTTTTGGTGATGTCTGCAACCTGATAGGCTGTTTTTTAACACATCAACTGATTATGCAGGTCCGTTCAGCTAGTTTTATGATATTTAAAATCCAATATAATGCACGTATATTATGCAAATGTAAACTGTATAAATCTTTTTCTCATAAATGCACTCTTTGGTCTAGAATCTACTAATTTTATAAATTTAAGTATTGGTTCACAGTTTGTTAAATATTCTAATTCTTAACAACTACTTTTATTACATGCATACGAGGGTTATCATTGTGTTAATAAGTTGGAGGTCGATGTTCAGTGAACCTTGCTTCATATCCCAGAGTCATGCTCCTAAACTCTTCTCTGCCCTGTACATGAACTTTCATATGTTTACGACATTGTGTCAATATTTACCACAACCTGATGGCTGATAAGTTCATTTATTCATTGAACAGTCTGCGTAATATTGATAAGTTTTATCACAAAATAAAGCAATTGACTAGTAATACCTAGTTTTTAAAACTTTGATGTTTAATCGCTTAACCTCTACCTTTTGAATTATTGTTCTACCTTCAAATAATACCATTGAGGAAGTCGGGTAGTATCGTAGGCCCTCGGGTTACAATTGTAGCTTACACGTCAGTTTATGGGCCTGGGTTTTTTAATCATCAGTGATCTGTCATGGTTATGCGACTGTAAACCTAAAGAAAGGTAATCACCAATTTTATATAAAGCATTATGGCAGAAAGTTGTTATTTCAGTGTTTACTTGATTTCCGCATTAGTTTTAGCTCTGTCTTATGGTAGGAATTCTGTTACCTTTGGCCATTTTGCTTCGAATTCAGTGTAAAAGGTATCTAAATAGTTATTGAGTAAAAGTATCCATCCCAGGAGTAAACCGGATTGTTTTGAGTAGCTTAATAAATGATATTTTATGAATCTCTTTCTTGTGTGGTTCTAGTGTATTTCACTAATGAAATAAGTATTTTGCATCATTTTTTTGTGTTTTTGTCCTGTTCTAAAGATTTTGATGAGTAAAATATATCCGATATCAATCTTTTGAACTAAAGCGTTCAAGCTATGGCGAAAAATGATTCGTCAATGTCACACCTTAAACTCTACAGATTTCTTAGTCCTTACGCGAAAAAAGTGGTTTATTGTCCAACGAATTGCGATGGTGTTTTTAATAGTTTTAGAATTTTGCGAAATATATCAGTAGGTAGTTATGTAACTGTTTATAGAGTGATCTGTAGTCCCGCTGTATCTGACTTGAACTTGACTAACTAATAAAGGATATTAGTGCCTAATGAATAACTAACATACTGTTTTCCTATCGGGTTCTGGAAAGTTTGTTCTTTTTTCGACTTATATTCCTTTTCGCTTTAATTTTAATGTACAATTTAAGGATTGCAAATTGCTTATACTTTACAGATTGTTGTGACAGGGTACTGTATTGTTAGCGACTTCGTCCTTGTGTTCCAATTTATCTATTACAAACATCGTCATAAGGCTATCTTACGTCGTAAGTTTAGTGTGACTGGGTTATTGGAAGTTTTCTTTTTGCTGTGCATGATTCACGTAAACTTTTGATTTATCAACCTGTATGATGAAATTTACACAAACATTTGTTTTCTTTATTCACATTATATTAGGGTTTATTATTTGATTGTTTCGAAAGATTCTTACGGCGATAAATACCATACTCATCCTTTATTGTATCTTAACAGTTCGTCAGCACCCATTCACTCCTAGATAAGGGAGAATACAATATCACTTTGGGCGGTATAGTATGTGAAGATGGAGATTGGCGAGAGGGGATTTAACAATAACCCAGTGTATGCATGAAGATGGAAAATGGTATATTTGTTTGACTCTGTACCTCCAGCTGATGTAGTCCGTTAAAAATAATAAATTCAACAAGATATGCTATTGATTCTCTGAATTTGTTTGTAGTGGGTAAGCTAGTAAAACACGCATTAAGTAATCACTTTCGAATCTGGTTGTGATCTTAATTTATTTAAATATCAATCTTAGCTTTCTAAGTAGTATCAAGATGGTAACTGTTAAGTCATAGTAACAGCTTTTCATGCTTAATTGATCAATATATTCTATTTGAATGTGTATAAGGTTTACAGGAATTATTTTATGGCTAAATATATGTGTTAAACTTGCTTACTGTTTACTGTAAAGATATATTTTTAATTAGGAAGAAATTCGTCTAATTATATTTTACCTGATGTGTTATGCAGAAATACGATTCGCTATTCTTTTTATTATACTCTAATGAAACTAAGCTTTTCAACTAATAATAATATTTGGGAAAGGTATCATTCAATACCACTGAGGAATGGCAAAATTATTTTGTACGAAATCATATATTGGTATATTTACAGGTTTGCAAAAGCTTACTGTTTTACAAAAATTCAGCTTAGGTCTGTGATTCTTTCAATATACCAAAAATTGATTTTTAAGCCTTTAATTCGTCGATAGAATAGTTTAGTATTGGTTACAACTCAATATTAGCGTAAATTATTTGTTTTAGTCTTACTGAGTGGTTGTCTCAGCTTGAGACAAGATTGTTAAATTTGGTGTCAGCTCAGATCGTTGTGGTGTCATGAGTTCCGTTTTATTTTTATAGCATGCTTCAGCAACTGACCTCAGCATGCACTACACCTAACTGCCGATTACCACCAACCGTCTAAAATTAGTTACTGTTAACAGTTTTAAGTGTTCTTATGAACTATTCGAAAGGCTTTTATCTAGAAAATCTCGTCCCATTGAGATGATTTTATGCAATTATGCAAAATTTTTAGTACACAACCAAAACTGGTGCTCATCAAAATAAAATTCCAAGTTTTTAGTCTGTCTGAGTTTTTGATAAAGGCATAATTTTTGTGAGTACTCACCAAGGTTAGACAATAACTTAAGGTGGGATTAGTTTATGGACGACCTTTGGGTGACACTAAAGTGACTTTAAGAATACCTACCTACTGATTAGAACTAAATATGGGTTATAAAACTGTGTGGGAAATCAGAATTATGATTTACAATCGATGGTTAGGGTTATGAACTAGATTTACGATTTTCGTCACGAACTGACATAAGCTAAAATGCCAAAAGGCTATTTAGCCAAATGGATGAATAAATTTCGTGCCAAAATTCAACACTTGTTGTCTTATATCTGATTAGTTCATCCATAAATTATAATCTCTTCACTCTTATTAAACATGCATATACGTAAAGTCTCTCAAAGCTGCATCGAGAACATAAACAGTTATAAACCATTGTAGTCAAACTAATGATGAGTGTTACTGAAAATTGTATGTTTAGGCATCTGAATTAACTTTTGTAAATACTCTTTTTCTTATTTCTATGAACAGTCGCTTAAAATCTCAAACCAAATTAATATTAACTGTTGAATAAATCTAATTTTTCTACATAGAAATGCGCGTTGAACAATCCACACTTTTGATACCAATTAACAAAGCAAAAGAGAATAACAGGGAAACAAGAAAACAAAGGTGACAGTTTTCACACTTTGATCGTTTTCAAGCCCATGAATTGTTTCTATGGTTGTTCTTTTATCCATTCACACTGCAATTACTTTTTTCTCCATTGCCATATCAACTTCATGATATTGCATAACATTTTAAATAGTTGGTGTTCAACAGTTACTGCATATATACACCAATCCTTTATAAAATTACTTTTTCGTTTCAGGAATGGCTACAGCTCTAAAAGATGGTGAAATATCTTCGGACTCAAGCTCTTCTACTCCCATTATTTGTGACGAATCAGAACAACATAATTCACATCAAGGATATCAAAGACTTTCAGTTGGTTTAGTTGGTGCAGGATGTTTAACTTTGATGGGTATTTCTTTAACTTCTATCGAGAATCCGTTTAACACTTATGTTATTGGACAATCAATATCCAGTGGTTTACACTACCAACGGAGACAGTTATTGGGGTGGAAACAATATGAATCAACAGATCACCCATACATAAATTCAGATCCTTTAAATGTAAGTTTTTAATTTGAACAGTATGGTTTTCCAGTCACACGTAATAACACTATTCAATCTTTTAGATAGCTTTGTCAAAAATGTTTCAAAACAGGAGATTAGCTCGTTGGGAGGAAATGGATTATCATCGTTAAGATGGTGAATAGCACAAATACTTTGTTCTTAATGATCATTTAGCTTTCTCATTTTCTTAGTTTGGGTTTTTCATATTCTGAGAAAGACATTTGTTGTTGATCATTTAGTTCTGAAGTTCAACAAATAAATTACTTTTGATTGACAAAAGATCTCACGTAACCTAGTTTTTTTGCTTGTTCACCTCACCGATAATGTAGGCAGAATGGTACGGGTTTAGATTTACACGTAAGTGTACGATAGAAGCAGTTACTTTTTCTTTTACAGTCTGATGACTAACCTTTCGACAAGAATACAGAAATATTAGTCAGGGTTTCTCAAATATAAAGAGAGTTTTCATCACAAATACTGAAATCAACTGGGAACTACTTAAAACCATGAAACATCGGACAGCTGTTCGGTCCCGGTTTGAAACTCCTCAACAGCACGTGTGTATAAAATCATGCAGAAAAAATCCCAAGGAGCTTCAATTCTTCTGACCAATATACAGCTTTTAGACCACCTTGACCAAATGTGACTATAACATGATATCCAAATGTCTGTCGAAGGAAAAAAACCTCATAAAAGTGGGCCTTATTTTCTGCGACATATGTTTAAAAAATAAGTACTCTATGTATTTAAATTGTCCACATTTATGTTGAGAACACAGTTTCCGTAAACATAAGAAGCTAAAATGGTGACAGTTGGTAGAGTCCAGCTACATATCTGTTTGGCAAACTAAGGTATAGTGATAGAATATAGTGATTGAGGCTAAGATTAGTTTGCAGCTCAATCATACTTCAGTAATTCAATAGGGATCTACTATTCTCCATAATCTCATCCTCGTTAAGATTTGGAGTGTTTCTTTTTGAAAATTTCTTCATCAAAACGAACCCCCTCTACATTACTATTTAATTTATTTCGGTGGTTATCCGTTTGATATTAATCCGGTATCATCAAAATAAACTTTTAGAAAGAGAATAAAACCTTTGCTCATATAAGTGTTTGTTGTTAAATTTTGTACCTGTTACAAGCGTTATTATTTTGCAATATTGATCTCGTTCCTAAGTTTATTGTCGCAAAACTATTGATGATTTAAAATTTTGTACTTGAGAAACGTACAAAAAGTATTACCTTTTTTTAGTACGCTTACACAACGAATAATAATCTTAAAAGTTATATCATTCATCAAACTTGATTTCGGTCTTGAATTTTTTGTTTTATTCAAAATAGGGTGGTACAGTTATATTGGGATATATTCTTGGGTGGATTTCTACATCCATGTACTTGTTCTCTCGATTACCACAATTATTTCGCAATGTACGTTTAATTCAAGCTTTCTTATCAAATATATATAAAATTATGTTACGTGAATACAACCATCAGTTAATAATTTATGTACGTAAGCTGAAGGATCCAACTATTATTCTGGAGGAATGATAATAAACGAAGTTGTACCTGCATAGTTTAAGTACTCGACTTTCAATCATCGGGTCACATTGGGCATATTTTGCTTTAGGTACTCAGGTAATACTTTTAGTTCTCATTTAAGGAAATATTCCACAGCCTGGTGCTCAAACACAGTGAACTATATAACAGAATAAGTGACTTTGACTAGTATAAAGTTTGAATCAGTGACTTATAAACAATTTGGTGTCACGTTAATCAAGCCATATAACCTGAAAACTAACGAAGCACAATTCAGTTTGATTTTCTTATAATCCATCTCTTAAAGGGGACATTAAATATGCTCCAATGCCATTGAATTAATTTCTATCATAATCCAATTACCCTCTCTCATCTTTAACCACCATGTATACTATACATAATTGTTTAAATTACAAGTAATGAGAAATATACAAATATGTGAAGTTGTATTTTTAAAGTTTTGTAGTAATAGATTATTTCAATTATCTGCTTTATTTCACTGTTCTATTCTATTGTAAAAAAACATTCAACTGAAAGAACAAGGTGTTCAATAAAGCTATACTTAAGGATATGCATAGTTTTAAGATTATTTATCGACACTGTAGCAGTGTATTATAGAAAATGAATGAGAGTTACCACTACAACTATGTGGTTTTATTCGATAGATAGTTTGTTGAAGATGATATATATATGTGGGACTAGTAGCCTTAAACTAGTCTATTCAAAGTGAGAGGTTTCAAGAAATGAAGTGGTCAAAGTCTTTGACATTTAACTACCGGGTTACAGGTTTTAACCTCCTTTTAAAGATTTCATTCCAAAGCCTAACTTTAACGATGATTGTGTTTTTAACCCAATATGTCGATCTTCATTGTACTGGATATTCCCATAGAAGATAAGTGTGGATAATTCCAGCCACTTGAAATAAAGTCTTTGATGAAATTACACTAATATGCAGGACTGAGCCAGTGAATGAATTGTAAAATGATCCAAAGTACTAAATATGTCGTACTCAGTGAAAATTAAAAATTTTGTGGGTAAACTCAGCTGTTGTATACAAACCTGCACTTCTTAATTGCAGTACATGGTGCAAAATGGAATTCGATTTCTTCATTCTTCCTCTTGCTTATTTATACCTTCTGGTTTTCTGTCCCCTTCTTCTTAACCTCTTACTTAGTCTGAAGTGACTTTTTTATATTGCCTTTTTTCCTTTTCGAAGTATACCAACTTGGACAAGTGCACTTCTATTTATGAAGTTTTTACTTTATATTCCCTCCTTTCTCAGTAATCTCTCTTATGGATGTAAACAAATATAAACAATGGAGCATTGTTCTTCTGGATAATTTTAATTTTATTATATTTCCTATCTCTTATAACATCTTTCAGTATTAGTGAATATAAAGAACAACAGATCGACTGCATCCGCTACACTGTGTGTTATATATGATTGAGTGCTCAGTCCCAAATTGTTCATTTGAAGTCATTTAATCAAACGTTTTAAATAGATTTATGTTAACTAATTAATAACAATAATAATAAACAGATTGTAGAACATTTTGTTAATACATAACTTTCTGCAAACTAATTTTTTCTGTTCAAGTGGAAACGTAAATCAACTGAAGGACTGTCTATGTTCATGTTTTCTATGGCTGTAACTGGTAATATTTCATATGGCATTCAAATTTTGCTTACATCTACTGAAAAAAACTACTTAATCCGAGCTACACCGTGGCTCGTTGGAAGTTTCGGTGTTGTTTTGCTAGATATTTTTGTAAGTTCATATGTTTTGATTATTAACTATCATGCTTAATTCTTGAATACTTCATAACTATATTCCACGGCTTAAGACTTGATTGTGTTTGTTTTTATCTCGTGAAATTAAACTTCAAGAATTCTCTCAGTTATAGTAAGAACCAATGACCTGTAGAGATCGACCATGTTAAAAGTGACGCAGTTACCAAAGATGATACTGGATAATTGTTTCTAATTCTTGCATACTGATTATAGTTGAAAATGTGGAACATTTGATTTTAGCTCAGTAGTCTAAATGTAACACGGTCATTGCGGAATATAGGGGTCTTGGTTGCGAACTGATGAGTCCAATGCTTAGACGGAACAACTGTCCGATGCCCCGTAGTTTCTAATGGTTGTTTAGCCAAAGTCGATTCATCGTGTAAACTAATTTAAGGGTTAGGAATTTACACCAGTAAATTAATGTACTTGAGTGACGAAAAAGTAAATTTGTTAATTCAGCTTAATACTGGGATGTTTAAACGAAATCTCCACGGTTGCTAGAATATTTTCCTGTTTGTCCATCTTTTGAAGAAATGGTACGTAATTACACTAAAATTAAGGGAATTGATATATGATAGATGAAGAATTTTTATGGCAGCTAAACTTTTAGAGAACTTTCTCAATTGAATATGGGTTGCAGATACTGACTTGAAAAATATTTAAAAAGCACATATATATTTGGATAATTACAATTCGATTGTATGTTAAAGAGAGACCTGGTGCAATACTGCGTATTTGGTGTTGCGAATCTCTTACTGTTACTAAATCTACAATATAAGATAAACCAAATAATTGGGATGACGTGCTTTGATTCAATGTTAAACATCTTTTCATAATATTATGGTGTAAATTGCTTATGCGGACAGACATAAGTAGTATATAGCAGGAATTAGAAGTAGAATGCTTACCACCAAAAAAAAATAAAGTAAAGAGAAGGGGAAGGAAAACGAAGAGCGGTCAGAATAACAACAGGACCGGAAGAATGATGAAACATGTAAAGGATAACTGAAGCATGATATACAAATGATATAGTTGGTGTATGATTTTCATATGTTACAAAGATATCAAACAGTAAATTGGCTTTCCCTACCGAGTCTTCATTTACTACAATGTCAGTTTTATTTTTAATTCAGCATTATGTTGGCTCAATATACTATTCTTTTGTACTAATTCCTCGTGATATTTGTTCAATACGACATTCATAGTTCGTTTGTATTATTTCAGTATGATATTTGTTTATTATATTAATGATCATTTGTGTAATTCCAATGTAAAATCCGTTCGTATTACCACCACTATTTCAACTAAATATGAGATCCGTTGACTAATCAATGAATGGCAGTAAAATTCGTACATAAATGAATGTATTTGGTTTAATAAGTTGTCGTCGTGCTTTTGGGAGGTATCTTCGATTAGTTTTGTCTTCTACTTTGCTTTCACAAATTTCAGTTCTTGCTGTTTCAAGTGTCAGTTTTCGCATTTATAATACAAATGTTATTACAATTCTTTCATGTGCATTTACAACCTCTATTAAATTCATGTTATCTCACAGATTTTATGCATTTACAATACTAATGAATTTGTGTATGCGTATACTGATTCAAAGCAATTAGTCCCTTTCCGGACCGTAGCTGCTACCTTGACGTGGTGGTCGGGCTTGCCTATCGTGATGACCCAACCGAGCTATATTGGCTGGAACTCAAGTTCCTGCAGGTTCTACCATGCCAGGCAGGTCGATTGGAGAACGGTAAGACTAAAAGCAGCAACTCAAGGTCTGAGGGCGAAGTCGTACTGCTGACTGTACAGAGGTGTGACAGCAGTAAGGTGTTTCCCTCGGACAACCAGCATCTGCAGCGATGCTGCCTTCTCACAAGGAAGGAAGGGGTTAGAAAAGGTTGACCCTAAAAATGTCACACCTCACCTTACCCCACGGATTTCCGTCTCCGGCGGTAAGGCCCTTTGAAGAACGGAGCTAACACATTAAAAACCTCCCACAAAAAGGCCGTGCGCGACCGGCCTCAAGCAGTTGTCCCTTGGGCTCTGCGGTCACGCACTCAGGTCGCTAAGACCAACACTAATCCGATTTCCTTTTCAGGTCCCCCAAGAAATACCCTTCCACGGTGTGGGCAACCGGGAAGTGATATCAGCCCTCATACCCGTAACAGCACACGAGACCAAGTTGGTCACATTCAAATCCTTCCAACACCTCCTAATAACTCTCTTATCTCCACGACTAACCCTTCTCACGTCCCTTTATCACCTCGCCCCGCTAGTGCGAACGATTTGAGTACGCGGAATGTTATTCCTGGTCTCCTGAAACCACGCTCTAAACTACACGTAGGAGCTTTCAACGTCCGAACACTGTGCCAAATAGGACAACAAGCTTCCTTAGCTAGGACTTTAGAATCTCGCTCCATCGATGTGTGCTGCGTCTCCGAAACGCGCACACAGGATCCTAGTAGTGTCATTCATTTGACTGCACCATGTCAAAGTAACGAACCAACTCGATTTACGCTTCGTGTATCTGGAAGCCCTGATGCTGCATCCCGTGGCCTCGCTGGCGTAGGTATAGCATTGAGTCCTAGGGCAGAACTAGCTCTCTTAGACTGGATCCCAGTAGACAGTCGTTTGTGTGCTGTCCGACTAAACGGAACAGTAAGGATTCGAAAAGATAGGGACACTCGTCGTTGCCTCTTCGTCGTCTCTGCCTACTCTCCCACTGACTGCAGCTCAGATGATGTAAAAGATGAGTTTTACAGAAAGCTTTCCGACCTTCGAAAAGCTAGGCGTTCAGATGTAGTAATAGTGGCTGGTGACTTTAATGCTCAAGTAGGTAAACTAAGCGAAAAGGAAAGACACCTGGGTGGATCTTATGGTGTCGCGGCTCAAAGAACAGATAACGGCGACCGTCTGTTGCAGCTATGCTCAGATAACCGCCTGTTTCTTGCAAACACTAACTTTAAGCATAAGGAAAAACATCTTTTGACATGGCGACCCCCTAATTCGTCTCAACGCTGGACCCAAATAGATCACATCGCTATCAGCCACCGATGGAGGGGCTCGATAGAAGACTGTCGCTCATTCTGGAGCACATGCTTAGACTCAGATCATGCTCTAGTGCGAGCGCGTATCTGTCTACGTCTTACTGGACGTAGGAAACATGCTGTAAGGAAACCCCTTAGGGTCCTACTTAATGATAGTCAAGCTTTAAGTGTATTTCAAGAACAACCAGAAAAATAGTGAAGCAGCCATGTAAGTGATACCCACCCTGAGGCAGCATGGAATGACATCCGAAAAGCTGTAGAAACAGCAGTGATGTCAGCAAGTACGGTAAACCATAAGGTTAGGGAGAAACACTGGATCTCAGCAGCATCTACCGCACTAATAGATGCTCGAAAACTCATTCCATCTGGCTCTGAACATAACGAAGAGCGGAGTCAGCTTAAGCGTAAACTGACCAGAAGCCTACGCAAAGATCGTGAACAGTGGTGGGTAGCGAAAGCAAGAGAGATGGAAAAGGCAGCGGCAATAGGTAACAGCAGGCAACTGTTCAGACTTGTTAAGGAAACCGGTATTAGGAACCCAACTGTTAGCGAAACAATCGCAGAGAAAGATGGACATATTATTCATTCTCAATCCAGGAGATTGGATCGATGGGCAGAATACTTTAGGGATCAGTTCAACTGGCCTTCAGCCACACTTCGGTTTCCCACGATCCCCAGTCGACCTGAATGGCAAGTTGATGTAAGTCCTCCAACTCTTTACGAAGTTGAAAAAGCTATAGGAAATCTGAAGCGTGGGAGAGCAGCAGGCCCTGACAGGTTTACCCCTGAGATTTTTAAGGATGGCGGTCCAGTATTAGCAGCGAGATTGACTGAGGTCTTAGGTAGAATCTGGGAACTGGACGTAATCCCATCTGACTGGTCTCAATCACTGATTGTGCCAGTTTATAAGAAAGGACAAAAGTCCTCCTGTGATAATCACAGAGGAATTAGTTTGACTAATATAGTGTCTAAAATATTAGCTTCAATAATACTTCGACGTCTAACCAAAGCTCGTGAAGAGCAGACTAGAGAAAACCAGGCTGGTTTTCGACCTGGACGTGGTTGCATTGATCAAATATTCAGGTCCTAGAACATAGACACACATTCAGACGTCCCACAATGGTAGTATTTCTCGACCTTAAGGCGGCATTTGACTCTGTTGATCGTAAGGTTCTATGGCAATGTTTGTCACTGAAGGGAGTACCAAAGAAGTACGTCAACCTTATAAAGGCTCTCTACTCGAACACAACTGGTCGAGTGAGAGCTTATGGTGAACTGTCATCAGAATTGATTACCTCAAGTGGTGTTCGTCAGGGCTGTCCACTCTCTCCATTCTTGTTTAACTTTGTTGTTGACGTCCTTTTAGAGATGACACTTTCCTCATCTAAATTTCCAGGAGTCGAACTTCTACCGGGAGATCCACTTGTTGACTTAGAATATGCCGATGACATAGTTCTATTTGGTGAAGACGCTGACAGAATGCAGAGTCTGTTGACCACTCTAAGCAACAATGCAAGCCTGTTCGGCATGCGATTCTCTCCCTCGAAATGCAAAATGTTACTTCAGGATTGGGTTGCGTCGACACCCGGACTAGTGATAGGGAGTGAAGTAGTTGAGCGTGTCGACCGCTTCACTTATCTCGGAAGTCTCATCAGCCCTTGTGGTTTGGTGTGTGACGAAATCTCAGCACGGATACAAAAGGCTCGACTAGCTTTTGCCAACTTGCGTCATTTGTGGCGTAGGCGAGATATCCGTCTATCAACCAAAGGACGTGTTTACTGCGCAGCAGTTCGTTCCGTCCTACTTTATCGCAGTGAAACATGGCCGGTAAGAGTAGAGGATATTCGTAGGTTACTAGTATTTGACCATAGGTGTCTTCGAAACATTGCTCGTATATCCTGGGACCACCGAGTAAGTAATGCAGTTGTTAGGAAACGGGTACTAGGTAAGGATGGCAAATCAATTGAGGAAGTAGTGAAACTTAATTAGTTGAGATGGCTGAGACATGTGTCACTTATGCCCGACCACCGACTGCCCCGACGTGCTATGTTTTATGGTGTAGGAGTAGGTTGGAGGAAAGCTAGGGGCGGCCAGACCAAAACATGGCAGAAATCCATGAAGTCACTGACAAGTGGACTGAGTCATGTTGCTAGGTGTAGACTACCTGGTTGGGGACCGCGAGACGATAGCAACCGATGGTTAGAGACCTTGAATGACATGGCTCAAAATCGTTTGCAATGGCGCAGGTGCATCCACTCTTTGTGTTCTCTCAAACTCTAATCTTCTGAATTCTTCATGTCCTTTATTTCCTTCCCAATTTATTCCACTGGACTATACTCCTTTAATAACATCATCAAACCTTAATGTCCCCTATCTCTACTTATACTTTCAGTACCTCTACCACTATGGGATTTGAATCGATAACTGAATCTCTGTGCTAATGTGGTATGGCAACTCGAACTGATGTACGTACGTACGAAGTTCCACGTTGTTACTGACTGACTGAATTAGTCCCTTTGATAAATGTCGATAATGTAATAAGAAGACGAAGATTATCAGAACCATGTAATATATTAGCGCAATACATTTCGAACAATCTGATCACACATATACTTGTTAAGAACATTTATATATAAAAATAAAAGGTCAACTAGACTGGAAATGGGGTAAGAGGAGATAAGGATAATAATATGTATATTGATTCAGTTTTTCTTGATCGAAGAAATCAGTAACTATATAACAACTTTACTCATTTATTTCAGATGTTATGTCAATTCTTTTTTTATCAATTACATCAACATGGAAATAATAATGACAGTAATAGTCAAGATCAAAGGAATTTATTAGATACAAACCCCAATCAAAGTGAAACAGTTTAGGATTACTCTTTTTTATCATATGATTGTAAAGTGTTATTTTCAATGTTTGTTTATTTTTGCTACAGTTTCAAATATTTTAATCCATAGTTTCACATTCTTCCTGTAATTTGTTAAATGCATATTAATTGAGATCATCAATCTCCACAATCCCATACACTGATAAATGCATATCTACTAAATAAGAAAAATTTAGCCACTTTGTTTGTTTGTTTGTGTGTTCGTTTGTTATTTCTTTATATTCACTTTTATTTGTTTGTACAGAATAATTTGTATTTGATTATCCTACTGGTTTCGTTTTATTTGTTCTTCTCTTTACATTTGATTTCAACTTCGTATTATTTAGATAAAGAACTTTGTTACTATTTTTTTTATTATCATAATTTTATTAATTTTAATATGTTGACTTATCTATATATGTATTGAATATAAGATACGTGTAATTACTTTTCTTCCTGTGTATATATGTGTGCAAACGCTTGCTGATGTTACTGATGTATATTTGTTATTTACTTATCATTTAACCGGATGATTTGTTTCTATAGTTATAGAGTGAATTAGTATTGTAAAGTTGTCGTACTTGTTATGAAACTTGGATACCGTGAATGTAATCCTGTCTAGTATCGTTTTTGTAGGTTAACAAGAAGTTCTATATTAGAATGAAACAACTGTACAGTAATCCATGTTTTTCAATCAGTCAGTCAGCTAAAACGTAGAACCAGGCACATATATGCATCAGTCCAAGTTGCCATACCTCATTAGCACAACAAGATGAACACCGGATTCATAGAAGTACTCAATTTAGTGGTGGTAATATATAAAAGAAAGATTGCATATAAGGACATAGTACAGGAACAAAGAATTAGTTCCTAGAAAGAAATATATGAAGTGATTTTAATCTCTTAGTTTAAAGGAAGACAGAAAGTGTATACACCGACACCATTGTGATCGATTCTGAGCCATGTCACCAAGAGTCTCCAACCATTGGTTACGATAGTCACGCGGACCCCAACCAGGCAATCTGAATCTACCAACATGGCTCAGACCAGAAGTTAGTGTCTTCAAGCACTGATGCCACATTGTGGTTTGACCGCCCCTAACTTTCTTCCAATTATCCCTAACACCGGTTTGCATTGCACGTCGTGGTAAACGGTATTCAGGCATACGCAACACGTGGCCCAATCATCTTAGTTGATGAAGATTTACAACCTCACCAACTGATTGACCATCATCCCTAATACCCTACATCTAACCTCACTATTACTTACCCGGTGATCCCACATGTTTTCCAGTGGTTTTCCGGATGATGGCACCTTAATTAATACTCTTTATTATTTCAAGTATCTTTCATTTTAAAAATAGTAATCTAAGAATTCAGTTATTTCGGGTAGATGAAAATATGAGTTATTTATGATAGGTTGTTTATGTTTAGGTGTATATGTGTTCGTTCCACATCGCCTTTCCTTTAAATATCATATCTTTATGTCAGACTTATTTGCTTGTTTTTTTATCTATTTGACATTACCACAATCCACTTATTACTCGCACCATGTGTAGGGAGATCTACAAAATCTGTTTTAGTTCAACTCAATGGACAAATATGTTTAATATCACTCACTTCCCAGTCACTTTTATTGTTCTTATATTTGATGTAGTATCTAATTCACATGTTTAATAACCAAAATGTAAGTAACTAATGCAAAAATCCTGTTTAGTGAAATAACAGAATTTATTGGAGCTGTTTATTTCTTGACTTGGTTGGTAGAGTATTGATTTCTCTTCATGTAACGCTACAGGATATAAATAAGTATTACAAGAAAGCCATATGTATAACTTAACTGGTTTTTCATAAGACTTATTCACGCATCAAATATTTTAGGTTACTATGTATATAGTATGTTCATTTTTATACAGATTAGAATTTGGACGTCTTTTCATTTTTCGTTCATCCCCATTGATAAAAGTGCTCTAACTAGATCGACTCAGGTATCTGTTAACATAATATGGATTGTTTAGCAAACAGATAACCCATATTAAAAAATACGCTCATAATTTCTAGAAGTTTAGTCGATTAAAGTTATGAGTTGTAGTATATAATCAAATATCTTAGAGTTCACAAATTTATGAACTTTGGTTGTCAAATTTTCTAATCTACTCTTGAGTCATCTAAAATATCAGTTTCACCTATAAACTAGATGAATAAGATTATTAGTTGTTGAAATGGTTCTACTAGTGTGGAACGGTAACAAAGTTCCTTAACAGAAGAGCTTTTCTTATCACTAACCTGACTTATGGGATCTGCGGGCTCGTTGTTTTGTTTCTCGAATAGGACTAAATATGATTAATTACTAAAGCTTTATGGATTTGAATATTTTACCAAGCAACGTTATTTTGTTTACGTCTTCTATCCATACAATAAGCTATTAGAAATTATAGTAATCATCATCGTCCATTTATTACGAAAGCGCGATAATCACAGTCAGCTGAATGTTACAAAGTTTAATCTACGTTTCTAAATTTCTGATTTGTCCTGGTCTACAAGTGTTGCTATACTATGGATTAACGTTAAAGACTGCTTTGAGAAATATTACTTAATGTTTGTAAGCCAGTGTTGTAAATATATCTGAAAGACGTATTTTGGCTTTCTGAATACAAATTTGCATTGTTAGTAAACTAGGGATAACATGTGGTTGGTAAAGTAGATTACAAGATTTTACAACAAATATTACACTTTCTTATTTCAGTGGCATATTTACCATTCATAACTTGATCTTTTTCTGGCACAACCGATTAAATCAGTCCAAATTCTGGTTCCTCAATAATCAATAGAATTCATATTCAATATGTATTTATTGAAATGTGCATGTGATGCATAATGAGTATTTAATACAGATCACTTCATTTGTGTATATGATTTATTAAATCTATCTTGTATACTTGATTGATAAAAAGAAGTATTTCTGTATTTATTTAATTAACGAAATATTGAATAAATAATTTTCACATATCTCGGATTTGGCAATAGTGCAATGTTGTACTTTGTTTGATCATATTAATTGGTTTGATGTGATGGATAGTGATAGTGAGTATTTGTAAATATTTTACAGAAATTTTCGAGTTTAGGTTCTTTATCTAATGGTTCTCATATGCAACTTCGAGAACCCTATGAATGTTTATGAAATTCTAACATGTATCGCTTACCGTAGTCGTAATAATTTTTACAACTAAGTCATGCAAATGATGAGTAATTTGCGACATGAATTTTCTTAGTATACCAATCAATCATCTAACATTGACCAATATAGTACTTATGTTTTCAATATTATCCGAAGTTTATCAGTCATTTAACACTTGATAACTTCTTACAACCTATAATGACATGTGTATTCATAATGACTTCATCTGAGCGTAGCTTTTGACTGCAATTGACCTAAATTTAGAAAGTGTTTTGATATTTTTTACTTGTGTAATTGATCATTGATATAATTGATCTTGACACAATATGTTTGGGACCTAAATTTGTGTTTTATTGTTCAGCTGCATTTGTTTGTTCATTTTTTTAAATTCTCATCTGCATATGTAACTTCCAGCCTTTGATAAGTTTAAGTACAGTTTTGAGGTATATTTTATTCTACAGGGGAGTGTGCAGTGCAACGTATATGAGAGAGTTTAAAAGAGAGAAGAACAAGAGAATAAAAGTCAATCGACTACTCATCAAGCACACAAAATGCACTTAAATTCAATAAGAACGGCAATCAATGACAATAAACAATAACACAAGCGTGAAATTAAGACAATCTGATAATCTATCCTAGAATTTGATAGAATAAGGTTTTAAATGCATTACACATATACTTACTATATTAAACTAGAATAATGAAAGTGAATATATCCTTCTTTTTTCCTTATTCAATCATTTATTATTTAGGCAGTATTAGACGATCATAGTGCTTGCGAGGTATGGCGTAGTCGTGATCGTTTATATTCTTCGTTAGTAGCTATATTTCCGGCTGCATTAATTGGTAAACCAGTTACAGTGACACTGTTAGATGAAACACGTATAACTGGACGTTTATGTTCATGTGATGGATTGATGAATTTACAATTAGATAGTGGTGTTATAATAAGAAAACCAGATTCTGACGGGCTAAACGAGGTTATTCTAGTTGAAGTTAGTTTATTTAATTCGATGGGTTTTATTTTTCATGTTTATTTCTTTCCTTCTTGTTCCTTGTTTTGTTATAAAGAATAACTTGTTTGTTTGTTTTTATAAAGAAAATACTTTCTGTAAAAAAAACTAGAAATAAATCTATCTTACACGTTTGTTTAAGTGATAGTAATATATAGGTAACAACAGAGTATTTAAAAACAAGGGGTATTTGAGCGAAGAAATTTTTCCAATAACTTCGTCATCATACTTTACAGCCATCAATCCGTAATTGTTGTATTACGATCGCCAAAATAAGCCGTACATAAATAAGAGAATTAGATAACTCTATTTTTTTACTTATTCGTACGTGTTTGAATATTGCCTCTGTTGATATCAAGGACGATTATTGATCGGTCTCCTATTGGTACATGTGCATCCAGAGCAGGTTGCCTTGATATTCCCAGTAAGTTACTGATATTTTAGTAAAGGTCAGTGGGGGCTAGCAACAAGATCTATGACATGCATTTCGTCCTGTTCATGACTCGTCGGCTGAATGTACCTGGACTTAATAGCTCAGGCTTTATGAATTTAAGGCGAAAGGTACTGGGTTGGAGTCCCAGTGTTAAACGTCAACACTAGGATGCTGGTGAATCCAGCTGATGATTCTCAAATAAGACTAAATTTCCATCCTGGATTCTATTGCTAGCCTTTGTTCATTTCTACTTAAACAATGTTGTATGTTAAAATAGTGAATTTTTGCACCAGTTGTGCCTTAAATAGTTTCAAATCGTCGTTCGTTAATTTGAAGGGTCACTCAAGAAAGGAGTAGGAAAATTTATTGTAAGGTGTCGAATTAAAATCATAATAAAATAAATCGTGTGGTTAAAATGCACAGTAAGAAAAATGTTATGTTAACTGAATTGAGATAATTATAATAAAATCGTGTCAATTTATGTAAGTATAAATTGTGTGTTAATATTCAATTCTTTTACATGAAATTAGAGCTGATATAGTTCGCTGATGAAACTTTCACTGTCAATTATTACTATTGAGACAACTCCAGGGGATGTATTTAAATTTATTTATGGATTTCGTCATGTTAAATACTATAAAAGTGGCATTAAATATGTATTCATTTGGTTATAGTGACATTGTTAGACAACAATACGTAAATAACAATGTAGTTGTTGTTCATTACTTTGTAATCAATTTTCAAGTATTGAGTCACATGTTATAGACTAAACTCGTTTATCAGAGTTTTGGTGGGTAGGTAATATCACTAAACATCGTGCACCA